AGCATTGTATTGTTTTCCATGCTGCCAGCTCTACTTGGTGGCCCTTAACGCACATTTGCCAACCTAATTAAAATGTAGCAGATTGATTTCCCCGCTAAGGAAACTTAAGTCCCCAATCTGTCTAAACGAGCTGTGGTATATTGTCAAAGACATCAAGCAGGACCTTGCTTGTGTTTGTGGATTTCGCACTTCCTTATTAATGAAGGAGTGCTGGACTGCTGTGTATTCGGCACCCTGGCCCATGTTGCACAGAGGCTATCCGTCTTTCCCTTTTGCTCCTTTGCCTCCTTTCATTCTCTCACACACTAAAACTCAAAGCTCACTCCATTTCCAGAGAGCAAAAGGAGAAACCATAAAAAGCAATACAACATAGAGGGAGAGAAAAACAGCATTAAGCATTCAATTTTAAACAAACCCTATCCAGTTATCTAATTGCATATAAACCTCGCTTTAAGCATATCATTTGAATGTAAAATACTCAGCTGGCAAAATCATACATGCATGTACAGAGATGTGGGATACTCCATTTAAATTATGGTATCCTTTTAATAGCTGAGCCGACACTAAAGCATGGCAAAACACACGCATGTGTAGGTTGCGTATATATCTGCAAGTGATAAATGAGGGTGCAGAGCCTGTAAAGGTCACATGGGATATGATCCAATCATTTCCGCTGGCTGCAGACAGACAGACTGGTTATTAGCCTATCAACAAGTCAAAACAATTTCTGCAGCTGCATCTTCAGAAAGAAATAATAATAATACAATCCCTCCGTCATCTGTGGTAATCTAATATATTTTGGAAGAAAGGATACAAATACAAAAGACATAAGTCCCTGTGGTGGTAATTAAAGAATATTGTGGTAACATCACAGCATATTAAAAACAAAAAACACCATTATGGACAATAAGGTCGCAGACCCAGTATTGAGTAGGCCACTGCACTGAGCGCTTTCAGTCCCTGTTGGAATATTAGAGTGATTTTTCATGAGGGATTCTTGGGCCGCATTGTGGGTGCTACACATGTATTATTGATACCGGCGGTTCAAAAGCAGTTTGTTTGTTGAGAAGTGGAGAGATTTATAGAAGACCTAATGGTTTCCACTTCTACAGTCTAGATTACAAAAACAAAAGGTTTTTTATTCTTTATCTGGCTGCAGGGTGAAATCCCCCGGAGAGGAAAACACAATCAAAAGGTTAGAATTTATTTTCTGCAGAAAATGACTTGAGGCTTTTTTTCTTTCTTGTGACAGTTAGTGACACATGGCAAGGACAATAAGACACCATTAGTATGCTTTTATAACGGACTGAAAGGACATCAGAAGGAAAGAGGAAACAATAACATGATAATCTACGTGTGAAATACATATTGACTATTTGTAAAAAGACATGGCAGCAGGATTTTGTGTTGGATGATAGGGTTTAACAGATTTGTCAATACAATGAATGGCCATTAAGTTCCTCCTCATCTCTTGCAGAAAAAGAGGAGATGAAAGCACCGAGGATCACACATGGAAGTGGATCACCACCTAATCAAAGACTGCCATTCTTCCAATAAAAGCCTGGTGGCGGTGAAGGGTCAGCGCTCCTTTATCAGGCGACAGCAGGCAAAGATATGACTGTGAGAGGGCTTTGTGGCGAAGCGGAGCTGTGTGGCCCTCTAAATGTGACACCATTATTTCCTTACACAACAGCAAATGGTGTACAAGAAGTGTCAGTCTGCAGCACGAGTGTGAGAGTGCAAAAAGAGAAACAGAAAAGGGCATCCTCACTGCTCCTTTTTCTAGATGAGCATCTCTGAGCCTCACTTGATCGCTTGTAAACATTTTCATCAGCTAAAGACTGGAAATGAACTTAATAAAAAGTTAGTGCCACAATAAAATCTAGAATGCAGTAGAGGGTATAATCCCCAAACTTAATCAACCATCATTGCATTTTTAGAAGGTTATCCATCCACCTTTTGTGTAGAATCCTTAACGACTTAAAAAACACTCAGTAACCGTAAGACATAATAAACTGTTGTAAAACAGGGTCATTTAAGGGTGCAGTTTATCTACGTGCTAACTGAAAACACTGTCCACAAATACACACACACACAGTTGTATTTGTAGCAGATGACACTCCTGTGTACAAAATATTTTAATATTCATAAACACAAATTGAGTTTTGGAATGTGGCCATAAGGTTTAGAATTGGCATCTGCATGTATTCCCCATCTCTATCCTCCAGCTCAGTGTGTCAAATGAAAAGCAGTGCAGGGCACCTTGCAGACAGGTGGGCCTGCTGTGATGTGGAAACCTATTAACTCAAGTGTAGATGATTCTGTGTTCAATTTAATTATTTGGGGAAGTTACACCATGCTTATGCACTTCAGTAAACAAACTAAAACTATAAGTCATTTAAATGTTCTGATTTTCACGGTCGCATTAAATGTGAAATGTTGAAGATAGGAGATTTGAAACTATCAGAAATTGAGTATTACGTTTTTAATGATCATTAAAAAGCATTGTTGGATGCATGCTTTCATCCAACAACCTTATGAGAAAGCACTGGTGCAAGTGAGCGTTTCCCTATAACATTGTACATTATGCATTATAATAATCCTCAGGCTACAGCCTGCATACAAAAGCGAATAAAACAGGCAGCAACTCGTTCGCGCGAGCAATTTCACACAAAAACCCAAGCGCACATACATTTAATCACTTTGCCTTTTTCTGCATTTGTATTCTCAGACAGATGTTAATCCGCGTTTAAACCGATAATTGTATAACCTGCTCTTACTACGTTTGTCCCGGACTCTCTTTTGTGTTCCCTTAACTTCCAAATTCATTTTTTTTACATGAGGAGCCCCACCAGGGGATGGGATTAGCCTGTTGAGAAAAAGACAAACGCCAGTGTCAGCTTTGTGCTGGATTCTCCCGTTTCCGAAAAATGCACCAGGCAGGTTTTTGAAACACTTAGTCCTATCTCGTATCTCTATTTTCATTTTATAACAAATCTGCTTTTCCTGCCCGCCAGATTTTATGGACACGCACTGCAAAAATAACAATCCTTTATAAATCGTACAAAAATAAATCGAAACTAAGGCATTCAAAGATAAGTATTGAAAACAAGGACGTTTTTTTTCTGAAATGCCCAAAATAACCCACAAATACAAAACCTTGAATACGTCTTCGGACATACTGAGAGGAGGAGGCTGTCGCCCGAAGACATGTGCCAGTGTGTCCTTCAACATGTTTTTGACAAGTGAAACAGAATATTAAAACATGCTATTTTCTATACCTTTTTTCTACAAAGGGAGGGAAATGACAGGAGGACACGCACTTCTCTAGTTTTCTCTGTGCGTTAAACTGTGTGCACTCACTGGTTTTTAGGATCTTTCAAATGTGTACGTTGCAAAACATGTCTCATTCAGAGTTGTATTATTTTCAATTTAAAACAATCTGTTCTAATTGGGCTTAGGCTGTGAGAAAAACAATTTCACTTGTTTTAAGAATTTCAAACTGCAAAAATAGACCTATCCTCTCCTTAAAAACAACTTAATGACCAGAGAAAAACAACGTGACACAGAATGGGCAAAATAGGAATTATCTCACATAAATTACTTATTTCCAACACTGACTGGGACAATTAAATAACTATAAAAAATGTTTTCCATTGCACTCTCATTGCGTAAGATGTTTAATGCAATATTCTCATATCAGTCATGCCAAACAAGTATTATGCATAGGTGGATCACACACAGGGGGGCTTGCAGGGGGTCTACCGTCACTAAAAAATGAGAAAGGGGAGAACCTGCGTAAAAATAAAGGATATATCCATATTCTCTCCAGTTCTCATTCTCGTCCTGCCCGAATGTAAATATGTATGTGGATGAGGATTTTGTGTATGTATCCATTTGGCAATAGTTGTTGTTTACCAGCACTTCATTCTCTCTCTCTCGCTCTCTCTCAAACACACGGTAAGCGCACCTTTACTTCCCTGTGCGTAAAGAGCGCCGCTGCACTGTACAAACGGTACTGCCACTGCCTGTGTGAAGTCCTATGTGCGCAACAACACAGACTGTCAAACTGTGGGCCACGGGATCCCTGAGGGGGCTCACTAAAAAATGAGGAATAATGTAATTTCACGGTAATCCGCTTTGCTTTGATCCCGATTAAAGAATGCATATGGATGAATGTGCACACTGTTATCACCCTCTGCGCAGGTAAGGCATTTACACAGATCAGAGCCAAAAAAACAATATCATATTTCCAAACCCTGCAGGACTTTTAACCTAAAATTGATCAGAATATTGCCCTGGGAATGACAACGCCTGCGAAGCTTAGATCTATTAAAAACAACCTGCTGTGCAATAAACGAACGTTTCAAATAAATAAGGGGGGGGGGAAACGATAGAAGTGTGACAGTTTTGTCTCGCTACTATCATTGTCATTCGGGGATGAACTAGTCTTGAGGGGAATAAAGAACAGAGGAAAACACGAACTTTTGAAACACATCAGACAGCTTGTCTAGCGACATGAAGACAAGAGCACAGTAGCCTGTTGTAAAGCGAGCTGTCACTCCTCTGTGTTTGTCCACACTGTGTCTGAAAGGACACGTGCTTTGGACAATAAATGCTCTCCTTTGCCTCTAAATTCAACAGTGCCGCTCTGTGCACAACGAAGACCGAGCGAGTAACTGGCACGGATTCACTCAGCCCATCGTAACACAACCTGCCATCTGCTCAAACCGGCACCTGTGTTTCAGCAGTGCTCAGGTCAGCCCCCTTTCAGGTAAATACCACGGCTTTGACTGAGACGTTTCATCAACATTATGGGGCTGACTGATAGGGGAAATGACAACTGCAGGTGTAGAATGTTTCTGTCAAGTGCACATACCCTTTATTACGTGCATACACAGAGCAAAAATAAGCTCTATTGACAGTTGTTTTCCCACTGTGCGCACCGAGCAGCACACACACAACTGCGCACCGGGGAGCACACGCTAGCGTCCACTCACCTGATTGTGAAGAGCTCGACCCGAACAAGAGGCAAGTGAGGAGAAAGCCGAAGCAACACAGGGCAGTTGTTGGTTTCATGGTTCTGCTGGGCAAGTATCTCCTTTAAATTCACATGTCCAGCAGCGTATCCTTCCTTGAAACAGCCAGAACGGATGAGTCGTTTGTAGCCTCTTCAGCCTGGGAGTTTGGGGACTTTAGTCGCTTTGACTAAGTTGACAGTTTGTCCGACAGTCTTCCGCCTCGCCTCACGGTGCCTGATGGGCTAATTAGGGACTGAGGTGAACGCAGAAAGTGTCGAATGATAGTTTCCAACGCGCGCACTGGAAAGCTTGTCTAAACAGTAAAAAGCAGTACTCATGCCATTACTCCCCGACTTGGATACAGTATGCAGCTGTAGACTCGTATTCTTCAGACACACCTCCGAGCTGCTGAGCTCCTCCCACTAATTCTGTGATTGGCACAGGTGCATGACAATCAACCTAATCCCCGACGGACACAGCTACATACGCGCTGCTATTGGTTGACTCAAGATGCCAAAACTTCATGAATTTGTGCGTCGGCTCCGTTGCACCTGTCACATTGAACACAGCCGAGATGAACGCTGTGCTAAGGATTTATAGGCGTAATGGGTGAAATCGAGCTGAATATCACTGACAGGTGGCTTTCACATGTGCTTTGGAAGATTGTATTCAGATTTGATATATGGTCTCATAATCAAGGTGTTTGTGATTTAATTCTGAATTTAACTCAGCACTGTGTTTGAGAGTGAGGTGAGAGTATGCATAGTAGCCTATATATTAATATTTTTTTATCAGGATAATAAGTAATTCATTTAGCTTTCTTAAGTTTCTTTATTTTTATAAATAACATGAGGCAAATAGGAGGAATTTTGGAGGCACAGTTATGACACAATGTACTTTTTTCATACTCTTAAGGGATTTCCATTTTGACTTCAGTTATCCATTACAGTTGTACATTACAGTTGAAGGAAATATCTCTAGTCTATATATACAGGGTAATCATTTCCCAAGGGTGGCTCAGTGTAAATGACACAAATAAAAGTCAAATAGAACGTTTAGATAGTGACGTTATTGTGCTCACTGAGCTATTTGCAATAGTTTGACTTTGTGGTGACAGAATACATAACTAAGATAATAGGAGCATATAGGAAACAATGTGACAAAAGGTTATTACTTTCTGAACCAGCTGCTGCCTACTTTCACACTTTTAGAAGAAGGGTGAACCTGCCTCCTGTGGTTCACAATATGCCTGCACATCTGGATAGAAATCATGCACTCTGACTCTCCCCCGACCCTAAGTTCTCCAGACACGCACACGCACGCGTGCGCACACACACACACACACACACACACACACACACACACACACACACACACACACACACACACACACACACACACACACACACACACACACATGCAACCACAGTCTGAAAAGGCTTTAAATACTTTAATATTGTTTATGATGTTCATCTTAGGCTGTTTTTCTTGTGTAACCAGGTAAAATAGGGGAATCTCAACCCCACATTTCTATAATTAAGCCATCTAAGTTGAAACACAGTATATACTCTGATGTGATTATATATGTAATGCACCTTAACAGAATTGCAAGCACGTTTTATAATGATGGTGTCTTTTGAGGGACAAAAGCAATAGTTCTTATAGCTTTATTATGACTGTATAGGCACCCCAACTTCCCTTTGATTCTACATTATCAAAATACATGCCTGTGCAATGACTTACTCAAGTTCAGAAATATCCTTCTTTTAGCAATAGGCATGTCAATCTCCTTCAGAAATTATCTAAAGCATTAGCTTGCTTTTAATAGGGAGGCATACTGCCGCCCACACACACACACACCCACTGCCTTGCCCGGTGCTTTTTCTGATCCTGGAACAGTGAGCTGAACTTCCCTGAGCCAAGTGTATTCAACACTTTAAGAAAATGGGATGCAGACAGTTTTCACTTTGGAGAAAGTCAAAAGGCTCAGTTGTTTTCAGCTTGGTTGCAGAATGAATAGTGCACTGAACTGTGAGGTGCACTTCTTGAACCTCCACTGCAGTATTGACCCTTCACCAGTGGGGGGGCAGTCCATTTCTCACCTTATAGGTCACAGAACCAGCAGAGTTTCACAGTGGGGGGTGGGCGATCCAAGCTGCCACCAACTTGTTTCCTGACTTGCTGTGTGACATTGGCTTCCTATCACACAGAAGCTTTATTAAATATTCCTCAGCAGAAATGAGCTTTTAATATCGCTGACATCACAAATGTATTGAGAAATATGGAAAAATTAGATCTGGCAGTGTGCAAGGAGGGGAGGCTTCACTCTAAATATGCCCCACATGGCAGCCATTTATCATTTATAATACTGAAAATGTAATTTAGCAATGTTTTGTAGTTTCATTATACATTACGCTTTAAGAGACACCTACTGACAGAATCAGCCTAATGCTGTCATTAGATAATTTATTCCAGGGGATTATGAGAGGGAAAGAGACAAGGTTTCATGTGTTCTCCTAGGCATCCCTGGTGCCTGCTGTACAGCTAATCTAATACATAACCCCCTGATTTGTTTAATGGATGAGACTTTGCTGCTGCAAGAGGCACGCCAATAAAAGCCGTGGCCCTCCAGAGGCTATTGTGCCTCATAATGATGCCAGACACACAATGTGAGAGTTATGAAGCAATTTTTTATCATGCGGCACATTGTTTTGCTCTGTTGGTGCCGTGCAAGTAAAGGCAATCTCTCCCTGCAGCATAGCACTTCTCCCCCACACTTAGATAAACCTTCAGTATGATAAACTGTTCCAGCCACGTGTTGCAGTGATGAATGAAGTTTGAGATTTAAATACGTGTCCTTGTGCTGATCATTTGGTACTTTCTGTTCACCGTTTCTTGTTTTTATTAGATTTTTTTCTTCATTATTCTAGTATAGTTATGTTGAGTGAGACCCACAAACAGACATTTTGTCTCTGGGGGGAAATAAAGTACTCGTATCTAAAAGCCATCGGCCACGTATCTGACCTCTGTCTGCTTCTGCAAGTCATACTATGTCCTTTGAAAGGAAGATTAACAGTAGAAATTCCAATTTTAATCGAAATATGTCTCAAGAGCAAACACATGGACACACTGTTCAATACTGCGTTAAGAAAAGAGCAAGCTTTAAGTCTTGTGCATCCATACAAAATACCTGCTGATGGTAGATAGCATCACAGGTCTTCCTTTATGCCTCTGAGTGCTCCTATCTTTGCATGAGTACAAAAAAAAGGATTAATGTTTCTTTCATATATCTATACTTTCTAAGACAGCGAAAATGCCCAGACATTTTTTACTGTCAAAACAAAACAGTTTGTTGAAGAGATAGCACTGAAGTAGTCTTCTCATCGCAACAATTCACAATATATTATTATTTTTACATGCTGAAGAAATGCCAAATAAAAATGCCTCATGTAGCCTACTAAATAAAATATATTTGACAAAGTCACTATGGTAATTTATTATTTATTTCATTCAGTAGTTATACTTACCCTGCTATGCTGATCATACATACAAAACATAATATTCAAATCACTACTGTTTGGTAATGGGTGGCTCAAACCAGAAGCATCTACCAGTTTCTCAATACCAAATACTGAAGACTTTGGAACTTGCCTTTGGCTTGAATGAAGAGAAAAGTGACACTGTTGCTTACTTTTTGCATCAGCTTGTTATGCATAACTTACATGAGCAGGATCTGTACTCATCATGCAAACCAGGAAACATTGCGTAAAAGAGACAAAATTAGAGTATTTGTACGACAAGCCAGTCTGAATCCTCATGGGTGGATCAGAAAGCCAGAGCTCAGAGATTTACAGCAGGAGATTAGTTCATCATTGAAGAATTCAAAATGCAGATCAGTGGATATAGTATAGCATGAAGATTGGTAGCGGTTTTACACGCAGTAAATGTAATTGTCTCAAAAATAAGTGTTGCTGCTAATGATAGATAACTGCTATCAGCAGCCACAATGATGTCATTAATTGCCCTCAGGATTACATGGCATTCGACTTATTGATAGGTTGAGCCATGAAATCCTTATGCAGCGAAATCCTCATTGTACATGTCAATATCAGATGTGTTTTTTAAGATAACCATCGACAGACGTTATGCTTGGCTCACACTGTTCAATGCAATATTCTGGATGAGCAGATTTGTATAGGGACATAATGTTTGTATGGCAATTTGTAGTGTAGTGAACATCTTACCGATATACTGCATAAAATAGATTGTTAAAAACACATCTAAATTGAGATATTAGTCTTTCCCCTGACATCAATGATATACTAAAACATATACACCTCACAATCTCAACTTCTCCAACTTAAAAGGAATAGCTTCTATCAGTATGACCAGTTTTTGCCACACAATTTACAGTATCACTAAAGCTAAAAACAACAACCCAAATGCCTCCTTGGAAGAGTCACTTGAGAGTTAACATCAGTGCAGTAGTCCAGCTGGGTATGAATCATACAAATCGCCTTTTTTTCTCGTGTAATATATTCACACAGTCACTCTACTGAGAAAGAGGAAGCAACAGGGATGATTTGGGATCGACTTGGTTGGAGACTTGTTTGTGAGGACACATAACAAATCTATGACAACAGAAGGATTTCTCTGAGTGTTATATGCTTATAGCTATTTCCCTTCACATTTTCTCCTCTCAGCAAACTCATATGTTGGCTAAAGAGTCCACTGAAACTCTGACTGGCCTTGTACGAGCCACACTCAGTGAGCAATAAGCCGCGTTGGCGTATTACATACACATGATTACGTGGCCATTTCCTCAGTGAATGAGTCTCATCAGAAGTCACTGAAGAAGCCACTGAGTGTGTAATTGTTTCCCATTAGGGGAGACGTTGACTGCCATCGAGTTGTATCTCACTGCAGAGTTTGCTGACGAATGCTCACTGTCCACTGACTGTATCCGTCCTAATTTTGCTGTGGGTTGTGATGGAATTGCTCACAACCCCAAAACCACCAGATCAGTTTTAGGGTGAGTGTGATGCATCATGTTCCTTTATTTATCTGGTGAGAAAAGAACTGCAGGGCAAGAGTTCATATGTGTGTTGATTCACTGACGTGACACCAGGCTTTAAACATTATTATCAGTCATATCAATGCCTGCAGCACTAATGTCTCCGTGGCTCGAATGCAGTCAGTACTCTGTACGCTGTGTGACTGTATGGACTTTTAAATTGTTTTATTTGCTACATTTCAGAGGCTTATAGTTTGAGATAATTGCAAGAATATTAGTTTAGTGTTCTTCTGAGCTTACGCTTTACTGAAAGTTATGTGCACATGTTTTCT